TATAGAAAGCACACCTTGCCAAATGCCTGCTGTATTTGCTCACAAGCAAGCTTGTGTCATATGTAAATCAACATTGATATGCCTTATTATTCATAAAATCCTTCACTTCTTTTCACAGTGAACAATCTAGAAAAAACAAATCCTTGTATAGTCTGCACCTGTAGATAGTCTGCATGGGGTAAAACTTCAACTTTTAAACATGTAGGTATAGTTCGAAAAATATGGTAGGTACTAGATGGCGCAAGAGGCGACTCCTTCTCTCCCCTCCTTCAGCTACTCTTTGTCCCCAAGGTGTGACTTTTGGGGAAGACCTACTTTTGGGACGAAAGAGCCCTTATAAGGAGATGCCTGTTGCTAAAACGACGGTCAGCTATAGTCCATTGTAACTCAAGAAGGTAGGGCGAGGGTAAGACGTGCCAGGGAGAAGGAAGCAGACGGAACGCTGGAGAAGAGAGGTGGAAACCTTCTCTCTTTAGCTTTCCATCTGCTTCCTCCTCCCCAACCCATTCTTACCCTCGCCCTATCTTCTTGAGTTGCAACAGACTATAGCAAGTTGGCTCTCGGGAGGAAAGTCAAGGCACGACCGGCCAGTTGATTCAACCGAGTGCAGGCGTAGCTATGCGAGGCCTCCGTAGGGAGTAGCTGGCGCCACCTTCACTGGACGCCTGGGCAGTATTGTCCCACGAGCCGTTGTCAACTCTGTCAGTTTCCTTTGGGTTGTCCCGATCGCGGGTAGCTTTGCGGGGGCACGACCCGCAAAGCTTGGCTCCCCGATCGGGCCACCCGACCCACGACCAGTTACGGTTGTAACAGTACTATATATGCAATGTACTTTCAAAGTAAAGTACAAGTACTTTTTAACACAATCTGTGTTTCGTCCTCTTCCCGGTTTATTATCTTATTTCTGCTAGATGAATACTTAAACCAACACGCTCATTACAAATATTATTTTATGATGCCCTTTCATTCCCCTATGCAGTGCTTTTAAATGGGTATGCATTGCCTCAGGAGTAATCAGGGGCGCATGAGTTATTTTCGGAAATGGCGGCGAATATAGATAGAGTCAAGTGGCCACAGTGTAGATGTTTTACTCTCGTTGACAAACTATTTAACTCAATGAACTTGTAAGGCACTTATTTGTTGACAAAGCATCATTTTGCGATACAAATTTAACAAGACCAAATTTGGGGAATGTACTTTGAAGTCGGGGGTTCTACTTTCATCAAAAAGTATCAGAAAAAATACTCGTAAGTAAAGTACAATTACATATACTAAGAGAATGTACTTAAATTAAAGTCCAAGTTTTTTAAACATACTAAGTACTTTAAAGGGATGGTGAACCGAAATTTGGATTTCAGAAAAAATAATGCAGGAGATGTAGGCGGGACGCTACAATCCCTACAACACAACTCGTAAGACAATATCTCAAATGGACGGCCGTATTTTTGGAAAAAAAGGTCGAGATTGAACCAGGTCGACGAGGCGCGTGACCTGAAGATACCTAGTTTCCTCCTCTCTTCGCTTTGCTCCCTCAAGGCGAAGACGCGAAAACGTTCCCTCCTCTTCTCAAAGAAACGTGACGTGAACATTTTGTGTCAAATGCGCCCCCTTTCTTTGAAAAATATGGTCATTCGTTCGAGATATCACTGTATGAGTGATGTTTTGACGTTTGTAGCATCCCGCTGCACGCTTTTGCCACGTGTTTTGTGGAATCCAGATTTCGATTCAGCATCCCTTAAAGTACAATATACTTGAAGGGGAACTTCGGCGATTTTTTGAGCTACCTGATCCAAAGCCATAATCTGAATGTAGATGGCTTCCTGATTACAAAATGCTATCTTGTTTCCCCTGATTCACTCTAGAAAAAGTGATATTTTGTTCGCTGCCAAAACTGAAACATCGTTCTTCCTAGTTTTTTCCCAGTTTTCCCCGCCATCCAAACGTGACGTCATGGGCGGGTATGCTCGTGCCCGTCTTTCTCCTATCTAACATTGAGAAAACAGGGGCATTTGTGCTATCTGAAGTTGATAATAATCTCTATTTGCGCATAGTATGACCTTAGGCTACGAGAAAGTAAAAAAACGGAAGCAATTGAAATCTTGAGAAAACCGTTTTTGCAACTCAGTACGCTCAAGCCGCGGCTCGCTAGTATTGTAAAATTGCTAGCAAATCCGTTCTCTTTCTATGAGAAGCTGGCAGTTACACTGGCGAAGAAAGGTCGAAGAGTCACGCAATACATTTTTTGACAAATTGCCAAAGCACCACAAAGAATGCTCGGAATGTGGGTACAGGTGCCCCGCACGCTCGTCTTACCGGAAAGAATGTGCCATTGCTTTTAGATTTTCTTGAGAAAAGTTACTGTTGCAGACGCCAGCATGTGTAACTAGTCTTGTAGCATGCATATGCGCCTTGGTCATTGATTAATTTAGCAAAATATCTATAAACCATGCCAGAAAAGCGCTTCTGGCTGGTTCTATTTTTAGTATTCGTGCACGTGGTGCATACTTTGCTCGCCTTCTAAAGCGACGAACATGCACGTGCTGGGTTGTGACCTAACACATGTTGAATCTGATTCTCGTAAACATTGAGCGCCCGGCTGCTGCCCCATGCGTGCAAGCATGTGCAGCTTGCTCGTAAACATAGCTTTAGCAAGCTTGCACTTGCATGGGTTTGTCCGCATGAGCAGAGACATGGCGGTGGCCAGTCGCCTTGCTTGCAATCGTCTAAAGAATGGAATGAATTGCATTCATGTAGGCCAAGTTTCTGCTCATAAAGATTGTGTTAAAATGAAAATTAAAAGAACTCCGCAACCACCAAGCCAAACATCAAGGTGCAATGAATGGCGTATAAAATAAACATACACTATTCATATTCAAATCAAGAATATTTTCTTGGAAATGGAATAGTGTGAAAAGTACAGAAATGCATCATAACATTTTTAATTCAAAATAAGTTAACAAAAGTTAAGCCCTCCCCCCTCCCCTAAAAAAAAAGCGTACTTATATTTCTTTTTTCTTTTTTTTTTTACTGTTGGAGTAGAATGCAGCACGCTCATCAAACACTCATCCATGAGAGCTCATGGGGAAGAGTAATTCTATATAAATTTTTTTTAAATTAAGTTTTGGTTTTGCGCAGCCTCCATCATCTGTAAATTTGCATGCCTCTCCTCAGCAATATTAATATTTTTATAGTTTAAAAAAACTTTCTGCTCTATATAGCATTTCTCCGCAACAGAATAAAATAAAGGCGTTTTCACTACCTCTTCTGTGAGAGAAAATTGCATGTCAACCATTTGACAAACCAAGCAATGATTCTATCGTATATTAATGGAGCTCAACATTTGCTTCCTAAACCTCTGTAATACAAGACACGACTAGCAGTATGTCGAAAGTCATGTCTAAACTCAAAATTGAACTTTGTTTAGACGTTTCACCTCCCGTGTTTAACAGATCGGCCGCTTGAGTGGAACTCCGAGACTAGCCCGTGCTAGATTCAGTGTTGTTCAAAACTAATGAAGTTTTTATTGAAAAAAAGAAATAAAATGATTGAGGCAATTGTGAACAACAAATGTGGCTGCGCCATATGTCGACTACAGTGCTAGAAAGCGCACAATTTTTTCTCAGCGTTATTAGTGCTCCTCTTTGGACGGATGTCGTAGTGGTCACTGCCAGCTTCAGTCTGCGCTTGCCGCTCTTGAAGCTGTTCCAACTATCCAGGGACTTTAGTTCCAGCTGAAGAAGGCTGCTCAACTTGCAGCACACAGCTAGCAGCTTGCGGCAAGCATAAAGTATTCCGAGCTTAAGTGAGAATGTTTTATATGACACTAGTTCTCTCGGCAAACACTTCGCGCAAGAGCACCTCGACGTGGCCGGCACCCATTGCTTCCGGGAAGTGCATTTTTTTCTCCGTGGAAAAAAGGGTAAAAAAGAAGCTTTTCCTGACATTGCTTCCTGGCACTCTACCGCTGAGCATAGAATACTACCCATTGCAAAGGAACTTTCAACCTTGAAGCTATGGAAAAAACATCTTGATCGCTGGCGCCCAGAAATCCGCTTTGCGGCTGCCCGAGTCGCTCATCTGCCTGCCCACTGGTGACATTTACGGGTAGGGAAAAATACCATATTTACTCAAGTAATAGCCGCACTGTTTATGAAAAAAACCTGAGGTTTCGCTTTTCCGCGGAGCACGCAGATTGCCAATCACCGCGATCGACAGCATGATTCCAGCTGTTTAATAAATGGAGATAACGTCTTCGCTCGAAGATACCATTTGTGAAGATTGCATTTGTATGGAGAATCGTGTTCTCGATCTGGTTATTTGCTATGTTATTTATGCGTAACGCAATGATTGGCTCTATATGTGTTCTGTGGGAAAGTAGACGCAAGGGCCTTGTTCATAAATAGTAGTGCGGCTATTACTCGAGTAAATACGGCAGGGATTTTTCACTGTTGCCAGTAGAGAGTCGCCTCCTGGAAACCTCGCTGCCGGTGTAACTTAAAAATTCAATAACTTCACGGAAAATTTTTATTTTTATAAAATATTTTAGTTATTAGTTGAGAAATGGTTATCGATGCAATCTGACAATTTTCAGCGAAATCGAAGATTATAAAAAAAATCGGCAGAGTTTCTCTTTAAAGTACTTCCCAACACTGCATTCCTCCAGGAACTGCTTAGTGTAGTTAGTTCTTACTGGCACTTGTAGGTGTGTGGCCCAAGGGTTTGTTGAGCTTCTTGTAAAAGCATTCTTCCTCAAACGATATATATATATTTTTGAATGGATAGTTAACTTAGTACTATTAATGTCTGCTGCAGTAGTCAAGTCTCAAGGAACTGCCTTATGTGCTTACATCAACGTGTTGAGCCAACTCTCGGACCAGCTCTTTCGAGATCTGTTGGCACCTTGCCCCGCTCAAACTCTAGTTACACATCCTCCAGAAACTTGCAATCTGTGCCTCGTGTGTTGTTTTCATATATGTCCCACTCTATGGCTTTGCCTGCAGAAGAGGCCCTAGCCACGGTGGTGGTCCACCTCCGGAGCTTTGGGCGATGGGCCGCTGCCGTGCCCAGCCGCTTCCCGCTGCAGCTGCTGCTTCATATCTTGTACCGGCTGTATGCGGACTCGAGGGAATCTGCCCTGGCTTCCAGTGTGGATGAGTAAAGGCCCCCGAGCTTGCACACTGAAGGCTGTGGTAAAAGCTAATCCCCCCATTTCTTTTTTCTTTTTTTTTCAGGGAGCTGTCACGTCTTGTTGTAAACATGACCATGTTGCCACCGTTCTATTGCCGGAGCCTTCTGAGCTTCCTCAGCTGCATTGAAGTCAAGTTTCCTGACAGGCAAGCACTTTAAGTCTCCCGCCTGCTCTCAGATCGAGGGGTTCCTTTGGCACTCTGGTTCTCTCGAGGATAGTGTTCTATTTGAAGTGCAATTGAAATGCAGCTGAGACTATGACTAAGAATGGGATACTTGACCCTTCCTCCCTGGTATGTGCAGGGTTGTTCTTCCTAAGCCTCCCAACTGTTACAAAAATGTTGCAAAAGGGAGGATGCCTTGGACGTATTTCAAGCTAGCTAGGGTATCGAGTACAAACTCTGGGTAAAAGGGAGGCTGTTTTTATGAGAAGTCAGCCAGTAATTGAGTGCATATTTTGTACTGCAGTGTACTAAACCTTTTGAATGAATTCGCCGCATTTAAAGGGGTAGGGAAACAAAATTTCAGCGCTCATTTTTTAGCTTTAATGTGTTGCATGTTGCACCCTAACCTCAAAAACACCAGTCTTCCGTTGAAAAGCACGAGAAAACTAATTTTAAAGCTAAATAAACAATCTTTCAATGTGCACCTGGTGGATGCATGCGGAGCCTATTTGGGAGGTAGTCTAGCAAGGTTGTGGAATCTGCTACGTAGCCGTGACGTAGCAGATTCCTTCGGAGCAGCGCCGCCTTTTGGAATTTCAACATTATCCTTTTTAGCTTTCCTCCTAGCTCAACTCACAAATCGCGCATTGTACCAAACGGTCCAAGAAGACGGAAAGGAAGGACTCCCCTCTTTCTCGGACCCTCGTTCGTGCAACCAGAAACAGCCATTTTCCCTCTAGAAGATTAGCACGTCCCTCAAAACTCGAACAAAAGTTGCTTTCTCCTCGCCGTTCAGCCCTAAGCTGACAATGTTGTGGAAGCTACGTGCTCCTTGGGCCAGTCACATGCTCGTCACCCCACGGGTACTTCGAACGGCTCGGTTGTAATGCGCTGACGCTATTGACACCACCACAACGCTGACAACGCCACCAAGGGCAAAGCTCATAAGTACGCCTGCCTTGCTACTCCACGAACGCGGGAAATCTTTTCTTTCTGTTTTTGTTTGCGCCGGACATCCCATGACGCATCGGGCTCTCCGCTCGCTTCTCTTCGAGCGCTCGCTCGAGTGCACCGTTTGGAACGAAAAATATAGCCAATCCTTCAAAATAGAAACGTGCGATTATCATTTACGGTAATTATCCGTCATGCTTGACTCATTTCCGAACGAAATTTGAATATTTAAATTTTTGTTTCCGTACCCCTTTAAGGAGGGACAAATAGGATGTTTTATCTTGCATAAGTGCGCTTTGTATCACAGAAAGCCTAAATTCTTTCCAAAGCTAAGGGTAGCGGTGTTGATCTATGGAATGCATGTGTTTTGACCACCTTTAAACAGCTGAAAAGAACAACACAGCGCGGCAGGTGTTCAGTCTCGGGTCATTTGCAGCTTGATTGGTTATGGGCATCCAATGTTGCGTGGCATCAACATTAAAACTTGTGATCTTGTTAGATGTCAGACATGTCAAGGCAGTGGTGGCTTTGGCTGTCAGTAGCACAATGTATACTTTGAGCCATGAGATGACATGGCGCCACAACGGTTATCTTGATTTTGTGTGTGAGGCTCCCTTTTATCTTTCTTTTTATTTAAATGAAAATAGAAAGTTTGTTGCTTGATCAATTTTGTAACTGCCTTTGTGAACATCTTGTAAAAATATTTGTGTTGCCATGCAGGTGTTATTAAACCACGTGAGAAAATATTTGCTCACTGAGAGGTTGCATATTACATTAACATTATTACTTTAACCTTTCTTTCAAACATGCTTGATGAGGCAGCTCTTTGTTCTACTGTCTCACTTCTTCATTTTGTTAAGGTAGTTTTTCTTTTTAGAACGAGGCAAACATTTTGCAAAAGCTATTTCATTTTTAAAAACTCATTTAAAATTGAGAATTGTAAAAAAAAAGGGGTCATGAAATCTGTACTAAGGTAGTGTTACCTATGCCTACCTAAAATCAAACAATAAATTAGATGCGAATGTTTAGACAGTGTGAGGTAGGTCTGCCTTGTAATTGTTTGTTTGAACACAAGGTCTCGGGAGAAAGGGCGGAGCGCACTCTGTAATGGTTTCCATGGCATTCCGTCGCACCCCCCCTGTGGATCCCACACCTTAAACATATTCTGCGTTAAAAAGAAGGTGGCCATGGTGTCCACAAAGAAGTCAACCATAAAAGGGTTTAAAAATGTGATACTAAGTGTGCTAATTTCTAAATGCCATAGATTGTCCTAAGCCATGGTATCCTGTAGGATTCGTGTCTCAAATTATGTTGCAATATGACAGCACTGGTTCGTGCTGTAGACGAGGAATTTCGCCAGCGCAACAGGACTGCTAAGCTGGGGTCTTTCGATGGGAGCTGGAACACTTTGAAACAAAAACTGTGTTAGGAGTGGTTCATTATAGTTTTTTTGTCTCTTGAATTCGGTCATTGCTTTGAAATCGGGCAGGGTTCAGCATAAATCGGATTTATTTTGGAAAAGTGCAGTACCCATCGCTGGGCGTACGGCGGACTTACCTACCTACCTACCCGTTATCTGCCAAAGGCGTTGTGACATCACCGGAGGCATCTACGAGCCAATTTAGAAACGTCGCCTGACACGGCCGATGACGTCCCTTTTTGCTAGATTCCCTTCCTCCCTTCTTCTCCGGCAGGCAGCAAAATTTTAATTTGCCAGCATACATTAAAAAATTGTATATTAAAAAAAAAAAACTTCCGTTATTTTTTTTATTTTTTTTTTAATATAAGGGTGCTTGCGTTGCAACTCTTCAAGCTTTTTTGAATACTAAAACCTCTATAGTGTAACACTATGGTGCCTGGGAAGTGCGTCCACCTGACGTATTTATATAATGAAAATACTGTAAGTGCGCAGGCGAGCTGGTGGTAGCTAATCATGTCGTTTAACGCCCGAGACGTTCCCTCCTGTGTCTGTTCCTTCGACTAGAAGATTTTTTTTCCTTTTCTGCACTACAGTCTCGGGTGTTAAATGACATGATGTTTATTATGTCCTCATTTTTGGTTTCTCGATTTTCACTCGATAAAATTACATTTGTGTCGCACTGTTGCCTGCCTTGATCCTGGCGGCGGCATGGCAGCGAAGGGGGTGGCGCAGATGCCTTTTCTGCTGCACTTAGTTCTGCAGCCAGACAATGGACGGTAACTAAAGAAGATGCGAGATGAAATGCTGCAACGACAGTGACCCTTGTGTCTGCTCCTTTTATCATTTCTACAACCAAGTGCCAAGATCACAATGTCCGACAGCATGGCATGCCGGCTCCTGCGACACAATTTGCTGCCACTTTGGAACCACTTTTGATGCATGGGCGGTATAAGGTGATAAACACACCGATCGAAGACGTGTTCTGGATGCCGCAGGCTCGTACGACGCTTCTCCAGATTAAAATGCGCCAAAGCGATAATTGAACCCGGGGTCCTCGAGTTTTGGGTGCGAGTTTCCTCTCCATGCGATCGTGTGCATCACCCGATATTTCTAATACAAAAAAAAAAGAAAAAAAGAAAAAAAAGGTAGTTTTGTGGGTCAAGTACACCAGCGTTACAAGTTAATGTGCACAATCTTAACGTTTTATGTGTGGTTGGTTCCTTTTTGACAGTTTCTGACGTAACGGGGATATGCTCGTCTGCACCTGGTAAGAGTTTGGATTAAAGGGGGACCCCAACCAGAAAAAAATATTTCTGCAAAAGGTTGTATTTGAAGACTTTGACGAGCATGTTGGGACAGATGTAACAGTAAGAAAGCACAAAACAAAAAGAGGGACGAAAACAGACATGTACAAGCTTTCAGTTTACAACAACATATATTTCACGCCAGCTAAGCTTGCACCAACAACCGTCGGTGGGGAAGGGGGGAACGAGCAAGAAGGAGAAAAGAAGGGGGAGAAGGTTGAGAGGGAAGAAAAGGGGGAGGGAAGGGAAGATAGCGTTTCCGCATCCGCTTGTTTTCGTACCTCTGTTCGTTTTGTGCTTTCTTACTGTTACACTTGTATTTGAAAAATGCCATATTTACACCCACCAACATCTAGAGAGTATTCCCAGAAAGTTTCATTAGTTTACACTGCAGAGTTATTTTTTATAATTAATTTTCGGTCTGCTGATGCCAAAGAAAAGGTAGAGGTTGGAGCTCTTTCAACGCCTTTTTTTTCCTTTCCACTTTTTGGCGTAAATTTCACTTTTGGAAAACTATTGTTAATTGGACAAAAGGAAAGACTCATTCATGGTTTTTCCTAACAAGAATTTTATGGGCAATGCAGCTGTGGAATTTTTTTTTACTTTGTGGATGTCGTTTATAAAAGATGTTAAGATTTTGGCGACAACATAGAAGGCAAAAAATTTATTTGATTTTTCACTGCCAATGTTAGCATAAAATAAATTACTTTTTGGAAATTTTGTTTTCACAGTTGCACTCTCCAGGCATTCCGCTGCAGGCCTAGTGAAGAAAAACGTTGGGTATTACATTACTTTTCTAACGATAGTTTTCCTAAACAAAGTCAGTGTGTTCCTGATAAAAACGACTATAATTTCTTTTACAATTCATGTACACAGATGAAAGTTAGCACTGCATTCTGCCTTGCAACTGCTATAGTCAGTTACAGGTTAAGAAGGTAGCGGCAAATGCCCCTCAAAGGGAATCAGATATCCCTCCGCCACCTCCGCATCCAATAGCGTCCCACCGTTTCCGTGACGTCGCGGCCAACGCGCGAGGAGGGTCTTGCCTTTCTGTACATATTTGCTTTATCTTTCGACTCTGACTTAGCATTGTGGAAGCCACGAGAGGGAGATTAGAGTTCTCCCCCACCGACGGAAACAAATACGACTTTCGGGGATTAGCTTCCCCCCCGATGGATACAAAGGCTGCTTTCAGGGGCTCGGTTCCCTCTCCGATGAATACAAAGGTCGCTTTCTTAAAAAGTGGGATCGGAGACGAGTTGGAATCCATTGAAGCGGAACAAGGAGCGTTTCCAGTGAACTCTTCTTTCGACTGCGGAGAGATTTGAAACGGGCGCATCACACTTGTGGGAGGAGCTTCTCCTACCTTCTTGACTTGTAACCGACTATAGTACATAGTGTAAATTTAATTCATATTAAGCCAAGGGTTCAAAAGTTGACCCTTTTGGGTAGTGTCTCCCTCCCCTTAATGGTATTCATCAGTTACTTTGGTGCACTTAAACTATGAGATGGCCGTTTTGTAGTATACAAATGCACTGGTGTTTTTGGTCGATGCATATTATCAAACTTTTAGGGAGACACAGATGACAATGTTATAGTAGTTTGCATATCATTGTCTTTTGATTATGAATGTGTCAAAAAATAGTCTTTGCAAAATGTTTGTCTTCTTTTTTAAACATCTTAAGAATATTTTTTAAAAAACAAGACCGCAGCGCCATGTGCTGTCACATCAAGTTTGATGGAAAAACATTTTGTAGTCAATACCATAATATCCCGAGAGATAGCCCACCTAAAATCGAGTGCAAATTGGGTGAAAAAAAAGGAGTGGGCTAGCTTTCGATGTGTAATCAAGAAAAGTCAAAGAAATGCTATTTTTAGATTGTGTGTCCCTGCCGCATTTGTTATCGTGGCAAGGGCCAATGAAGTTACAATGACTGTACTTTCCAGTCAGCAGTGTTTGCTTATATCTCTTCATAGCTAACTAAACGCATTCACGCCAAGGTCATCATTGATCCTAACACTATGATTGCTAGAAGTGAGCTATCTTTCGGTGTTCAAAAGATAATAGCAAATCAAGCCAAAATTAAGGATGGGTTACCTTTCGGGGGTGGGGCATTTCTCGGTATTTTACGCTAATCTAAATAATATGGGCAAAATGAGATGAGCGAATTTCACTTTGTAAAGTTCTCTTTATCTCGCTAAACATTATCTATGTAACAGCTTTTTGCAAGATGCTCACAAGGGCTATTGCAAAATCGACTGAGCAAAGGGTTTCTAATATATCTTTGTTTAACTTAAATCAAATAAAGACGAAAACCACATTCAGACAAATTCAAGATAGCTACCAAAGTCCCCGCGGTGGCAAGCTTTGAAGAAAAAAAAGGCATTCAAACATTTTTGGCAAGGTAAGAAAGCACGAAGAGCGAGACCTTATCGCTTTTCCGTGTGAATACCTGCCCAGGTTTATGAAAATCCTCTTTCTCCTCCTGGCGGCTCGTCCTCCTCGCAGCTTTCTGTCACGTACGGCACTCTGTTTCCTCTGCAGGAATGTGGCTCTCGCGTGAATGGGCAATAACTTGTGGTTAGAGAAGCGTGGACGGAAACTTCCGCAGCAGCGTCTCCACACCGGTGGCCTAATCTCGAGTCAAAGCTTAGAGTTTGCGGGCTCGTGTTTGGTTGATGGGACGCAACAATGTTTCTTCCCGGAAGCGCCTGGTACTCTGGCACTGAGGGAGCGTCCTTGTGCAGCATGCTGCCGGAGAGTGTGCTGGCACAGGCGGTGGAGACAGTGGCGCAGCCCAGCCGAGCACAGTGCCTGGAAGCTGGTCTCGAGAGTTCCCTGCTGGTCCTAGGTGTGGCGGTGCAGCGGCCGGTGCACGTTTTCAAGCCCAAGGTGCCAAGGGGTGCAGCCGCACCTTACGCTTGTGAAACCAGAGGCAGTTGTATGGTGAAGACAGATATTTTGGGGGGCAATTTTTTCTCTTTTAGACTCGGGGGGGGGGGGGGGGGGGAAACTTTCTGTGGCATTTCCGAGGAGAGGATGAGAGCATGTGCGCAGCTTTACTCGGCGCTCAGTCTGGGAGAGGGCACACATGCCCGTACCTTCAACTGCATTGGCACAGGAAGTTGCCCCCGAGTATAGTGCTATTAGTACGCTTTTGGGTATCGTTTTGATATTGCCCTTAGTCCTATGGCATAACTGAAAACTGAGTTGTTTGAGTGTACCCATAATGCATGAAAACAAAAACAGTAGAACAATGAATTATGCAGTGCCTGTAGATGTATACCCAAACAATTAATAGTACAGTGGTAGCCACTATCATAAGCACTTCTAAGGGGTAATCACACAGGGGTGAAATCCCTCCCTTTGCACCTCGGGATAGGCATCATTTGGTAAAAGCGTCGCGCCTTTGTGCAGAGCCGTGCTGATGTAGACATCCCAGGGGGTTAAGGGGACCTTTTGCTTGGGCTGCACCAACAGTCTCCGCCTTGGCGTGGGATCTCTTCACAATTCGCGGCATTTTGTTCACATGTCCGGCAACTTTACCGATTTTGCTCAGCAGAATGCCGGCGGTGGCATCGGGATCACCTGACTTGTTGTGGCTTACGCTGTTGCGCATGTCGTCCGAGGCGCCCGAAGGAGTCTTCGATATTCATCAATGCCTTCCCCAAGCCGCTCCTTATGCAACTGGTTTTAGATTCCATGTTCTTTGTGTTTCATCCACCCATTCAAGAGGCATCTTTTTTAGCAGGAAGCAGTTGGTTGTCTTCTGCATCTAACAGCACTGCTGCCATAATCACCTATCGTCGTTTTCATGGACTCGGCTCCCTGCCATTCATGTGTATTCTGGAGTTGGGGGGAGAATCTTGCTGGTTCCGCCGACCACTGGTGTCACTTATATCCCTCAATGAAAAGCATCCCCCATGTGAATACCCCTTAAAGCGCAACAAAATGTGTTTGTCATTATTACCGCGACATTTTATTATCTCTTACGAAATAATAAATACAGTAGACTCTCGGTAATTCGAAGCTCACAGGGACAGCAAAATGCTTCGAATTAAGCGAACTTCGAATTAAAAAAGCACATATAAAACTGAGTTTATTTTATTCAGTACTCACTTAGAAGAACTGGTCGATCTTAGATGGTTTTCGCTGACGCATCCGCGCCACCGTCACTCGGCTCTGCAAGTTACGTATGCATCGTAAGGCGTCTTCGGCATTCTCTTCGCCCGAGAAAAAACGTTCTACGACGCCCAATGCAGTTTCCGCATCAGCGGCACTCGGCATGGGAATCGACGGCGGCGAGAGTTCCTCGTCGTCAGAGTCATCGTCACTTCCTTGCACCACCACACCAGGCCTAACCACTTTGATTATTTCGACGTCCGAAAGCGGACCAGAGACCTCGACGTGCTTGTCAACATCGACATCTGCTTTGACGACGCACTCTCTTCGACTTCTTGCAGCACCTTAACTTTGGTAGCGAGGTCCAGTGCACGGTACTTACACTGTTGAGCCATCGGGATAGTACCAAAGCAGCGCGACGGAGCGATTGTTGGGCTGTGCGAAAGCACGTACGAACGAGCCAACACACTTTCGGATCTTCGTTGTCAAAACTCCCGCTCGCGCCGTTCCGCCGAACACAGCCCAGCCTTCTCGCCACCCTACTCTCTCCTCTCGAGGGGAGAGCGCAGAGTGGGAGAGCCCAAAGCAGATAAGCAAAGAGCCGCGCGCGCAAGGCTGTTTGTTTGCTTCCTCGCCGCCGAGCCGCAGCGCACCGTGGCGCCGTCACACATTGCATCAGATTGCATCATCCCTAGTGCGGCGACGCCAGTGACGCGGCCGCGGGTCATGGCGTTGCGTATTCGCGCTTTGCATTTGTTTTTTTCGCTCCCGGGGTTTCCGGACTTTAGGCGCAGACAAAAAAATCCTGCGAATTAACCAGCTCCCAACATTTAGCCTTCGAATTACCGCGTGTTTTTCTCCATAGCATTGTACATGCGATTGCCGGGACCAGGCCCATGCTTCGAACTAACCGAAAATTTGAATTATGCGACTTTGAATTACCGAGAGTCGACTGTATAATAAATGTTTTCGCAAGCTCCACAGGCTTTGAGGTGAATGTCAGCTTGCCGATTATTTTCTGTTATATTTAGCCTTTCAGGGCTCAAAAGATTTTGATTGCGTCTTGAAAATTCCACAAATCGTAACGAATCTCCGGTACCAAAGTTTTTTTCTTTTTTCCTCCGGTTAAATTTTTATTTCTCCCGCTTCGTACGTTATCGAGGTTTTCTCTGGTTCTTGCATTGTCTTCAGGAGCAATGAACGCTATAAGCGCGAGGAAGCTATGAGAGTGAAGCAACAGGTGGCACCTAACCTGGTTGTAACGAGTTTCTTACTGGAGCCATGGCACGGGCGTCAGCTTGGGTCGCCAAAGACGTGGTGACTCTTCCCTGTGCAGCTGGTGTTCAGATACATCCAGAGGCTTGTCTCGAGCCGGGGGCTTTCTGCACGTCGCACCTGGCTGTTGGGCAACCAACTGATTGACCTGTGCTGCAGCATCATGCTCTACCAGGCCCCAGATTCACTCAGCTCAGGTAGGCTGATCAAGAGACGTGCCCAATGCTAGCAGCAGTTTTAAGCAAAGTATTCTTTCTATATTTCTAGGGAAGTTCACAGTCCTTTTGCAAGTCTGGAACAGAACCTGTCTCTCTTGTCTTAGTTTTGGTCTTGGTGCAATGGGTTGACTAGTTGGAAACATGGAAAGTTTGCCATCCTTGACATTTGAGCTTGAGGAGGAGGTGGTCATAAGAAACACAAGTAAGGGCTCTGCTCGCCCGGCACGACAGATTGGGAGCGACGTGTGACGAGCGGAACCAGATGCGCGGTAGTTTGGCCGTACTGGAGTTGGAAGGATGGTTATCAACGGTCAGGATTAAGCTGTGGTGTAGCGAAAAGAATAAAATTGGTTGACCGACCCCGTTATTTTTTTCTCGAATGTTAGAAAGCAGGAAAAGGACACCTATTTATTCATTAAACTCTCACAGCGCATTTGTGTCATTATTGCGAGAAGCAAACAGTAGTGAAAATAAACTCATCCACGTTTACAGCACTACCGTAATATCCCGAGTCATCGCCCATCCCCGAGCCATCGCCCACCCCATTTTATGGGCAAATATCGATTTCCGGAAAAACACCGAGTCATCGCCCACCCCTTCAAATACCCCAGCGCGGACTCTGGGATCCGCGAACACTCATCCTACCCGAATGACGCGGCCGCGGACCTTACAGTTGGAGGACGTCCGTGACAAAGTAAAACGAAGGAGGGAAAGACACTTTTTTTGTTTACGCATTTCCTCCGTGAGCGACCCCAAAGTGGTCGTGTATCCGTGCGAAAAGAAAAAGAAGGAGATAACAAAATAAGAGTTTGTTAACGTAACCGCGGAGTGTTAGGTCAAAGTCTGTCTCCGCCGAAGTAAGGTCACCGCGAACCCGCTCCTTCTTCCCGCCCGTCGCGACCGCTGTTGTGCAATATTTTAGGCAAAGCCAAAGCGTAAATAAAGCTTTGCTGGAACGTCCTACACAGACGTTTACAGAGCGTCCCAACCGTGCATTGATAGCCCGCCGTGCACGGACGCACGTATGTACGCACCAAACAAGAAAGTTGCGCAAGAGCTTGCAATTGACAAGGCGCCCGACTTGGCCCAACGCCAAAGTATTTGCCAACGCGACCACCGGCGTTCCCGCTTTCCCAGCATTGCTCTTGGTCGCTTCTTTGGTCCGCTCGCTCGCTCGTTGCGCCTGATCGGTTTTTCTATTTTCTTGTAGACTTTTCTTTCTTTTTTTTTTTACTAACTGGGAGAACATAATGGTGACATTCTTTCACGGAACAAACGTTCGTGCTATATGCAGATCGGCGGTGTTTCTAGCGCGTATGCAAGCAACGGACTTCGCTATAGTAAAATATTCTTTCGTGAGCATTTTTTTTCTATAAAACAATGAAACTAAATCGAGTTTTGAGTTTGATGTATCTCTTGTGCATCAGCGCTAGGTACGCAGAGAAAAATGGGCGTTTTTTTCCGTTTTTTTTTCAAGTGTTTGTGCTCACCCACCGAGACATGGCCCACCCCACTTTTTTAACAAATTTCAGGCGGTTGGGGGGTGGGCGATGACTCGGGATATTACGGTAATTATTGATTTGTCTAATGCGTTCCAGTCCTTGACTGTCTTGCCAAAACAGGAATTCTTGCATAGCTCGACCATTTACTTTTCATTTGACTATGGTTCCACCAGTCACATACCAAATGTTTGTTCCTGGGTCAGAGTTGCGAGGTGTGCTCTGCTACCTGATGGAGTCGTCGGAGGACGTGGACGTGCAGAGTCGCGCCAAGCTCCTGTATGCAGCCCTGTACGCCCTGTCAGAGTCCAAGGTGGGTCTGTGGAGGCCCGTGCGGGGCACCAGTCTCTGAGCCGTTGCCTTGTTGCAGGCGAGGCAGCTGCTGCAGCTGTGCTCCAACGGCCCGGTGAGGGACAGGGAGCTGGACTGCAGCACCCTCTGTGAGTGGCCAACGTCTGTACTTCTCTTCGCGAGTGGGCTTCAGTTCGATTCCGCTCGGCAGCTAGGAAAGCTATGAGTGTGCACTAACGCAGTCGCCTACCAAGCTTCTGGACTTCATGGGGGTCAATCGAAGTTCCAAAGAATCGAACAATAGACCTTACTCAGATTTGCATGCCATCTGATGAATGTGACAACCTTCTTCAGTGGCCTGAAACATGGCTACCCACGCTTGAGGTTTACGGGCAAAGCACTGTCGTGGGAAGTGATGCCGCACTGCTGCTGTGTCTCGCTGTGCAACCACCGGAGAAATAGGAGAATAGCAGAATTAACCATACGGATTGCATTGTTTTTCTTTTCAATCTCAAGTTTTCAAGCTAATCTTGGAATATTTGTAGCGTTTTACTAGAACTATCTGATTGACCAAATGGCAGGGCCCGCATTGCCTACTTCGACTCTGTCAAATTTTTTTTAATCTAAGGAGCACTACTGTATTAATGGCTGGTTAAAGGGACACTGACAGGGTATCTATGCTCGCTGAGGTTTTTAGCTGTACGGGACATATATGAGAGCCCAACTACCCAGAACAGAATTTGCGGCTCGAAATTTGGTTTCTTTCCGCCCGAAAACCGCCGATCGAGCACTGACCAATTTGAGTTGCGCTCACTCTCTTCTCCGTTGTTGCGAGCCGTTTTCTAAGGTTTAGACACAACCACCAAATTTAATCAAAGTCGTGGATCATTGAGGCACACACTTAATATTAAAAATAGAAAAAAAAAAATGCAACCCATTTTTTGTGGCTTCTAAAAAGCTGCAAATACGTTGATTGAAAAAAAAAAAAAAAAAAAAGTTCCACAGAGAATTGGAAGCATTCTGTGCGTTCCCTGCATAATTCTCAGCGTGGCGTCGTCAGTCTTGGGTAGTAACGCGTTACTAGTAACGCGTTACTGTAACTTCGTTACTTTTTTAGTAACTTGTAACTGTAACGAGTTACTTTTTTAAAATGTAACTTGTAACTGTAGTTCTATTACTTTTTTCTGAGGTAACGATGAAAGTAACGACGTTACTTTTGTCATTACTTTCCAGAGTTTTATGAATAATATATCACTGAACGAGGGTACAATTTAGATATTCCTAGCACTTTTCAAATCGTCTATTCCGAAATTTCGAGTGTGAAGTCGGCCTTAAACAAACTTGTTAATACGTTTTTTCTCACGAGTCACGACCCGAATATAGCCACGTGTAGATTTCATGAAAAATAAATCTAGTTATCTTTACGCAGGAGCTTGTACTTTGTGACTGAACACTTACATTTTCGTGTCTTGAAGCACTATCTGTGGTTTAATTGTGGCTTTTTTTTTCTTTTTTCTTGTGAAAACGCTTTTTAATTGGGGGAATCAACCGTGAAACAACAATACACGCGGAGGGCACTGCGCATGTTTCGTATTTTGATTGGCGCCAGTACTCCGCACTGCGCATGTTTCGGATTTTGATTTGCGCCACTACTCTGGCGTGGAAATTTTCAGACACTAATTTCGAGAAGCAATTTCTGGTAAGTTACAATATGAAGTAAAAAGCGTACTCTTTAATTTTATGCAATAAAACTTGGTGAGGGGCGTTTTCTAGTTTTTCCTAATTTTTTGTGTTATAGAAAAGTAACTGAAAGGTAACGTCGTTACTTTTTAAAAGGAACTGTAACTGTAACGAGTTACTTTTTTCTTGCGGTAACTGTAACGGTAACTTCGCTACTTTTTTCTGAAAGTAACTGTAACTGTAACGAATTACTTTTTAAAAGTAACTTACCCAAGACTGGGCGTCGTATTGCGTATCATAGGTCTCGCAGGCTGGACAGTGATGGCAGCGGACGACGGGCGTGGGATCTTTACTTTACAACTGTCGTTCGCGGTACCAGCGAATTCTGTCTTACTTCGAAAGAGAAATTTCAGACCGATCAAAAGAATCGGTATTCATCCCGTTCGACACGCCCGACCAGCAAGCCGATTGCACGAAGACGTTGCCGACCAGTTGCCCCATTCTCGTGGCTGAAGACAATGCTAAACGTCAAGCACGAAGTGCGTACCTCAAGTTGAATATGCGCGTGTATGATTTCTTTACTAGGTGCGAATGTAGCCAGTGCGTGGTGCTGCCCGACTTCAAGCCGGGAGTGCTTTTGCTGGAGGGAAATAGGCAGCAAACTTTCCAACTTACTGTCAACCGGCTGCATTACTACGAAGAGTTCCCCCAGTAGCTCAGTGGTAAGATGTCCGCTTCACACACAGCGGACCCAGGTTCAATCCCAAGTGTGGGCTAACCATTTTTTTTTTTTTTGTAAAACATTTGGCGATATTTACATTTCTTTTTTTTACAATTATCACTGAAAGAAACAAATGTTGTGGACGAAACATCGCTGAACTAAATGATTTGGGATTTCATTTTTGACACCTGCGAACTCAATGTAGTCACTTTCCACAAAATGCAAGGAGCATATAAATCAGAAAGCGTCCGCTTTCCGGGGTGCCCATAAATGTTCTACAGGAATGGCAGCCAGCCATTGGTCCCGATCCCGTTGATCTATCGGAAACTTGTGCAGACTCTGCCGCACATTGCCACTTTCAGATGCAGGACATGTGAGGCAGCTCTTCACGCAACATCTAGGAGTATTCATTTCGGAGCTGATCGCGGGAATTCACCACAGGCACTCATTACTCATTTCCAACTCTTTAATGTACAAAACAACTCATCTTGAAGTGCAGAATAGTGAGTGGAACAAACAACTCCAAAGTAATTGCACGGCAAACCGCTCCCGCAACACGTCACCGGCTCCGTGCAGCAAAAAAAAAGAAAAACACGGAGGGGGGAAAAAACACCTAAGCACTTCTTATGATTTGTGAATGCGAAAGCATGTACATCATTCTTGCTGTACGGGTGTTGGCGCGCTGACTGGCGCTGACAGACATGCAGCGCCATGAGGTGGCCAGTCGTCGAAACTGACGCGCGGCGTCCGTTTGAACAACCGGCCACCCCATGGCGCTGCGTGTCCGGCGAATGCAGAGCCGTGTATTGGGAGAGTTTGGCCAATAGGCGGAGCAAAGGCTGCCACCAGCGCCGAATATTCCCCCCACGCTTAGAGCGTAAACTAAATTTGTGACACAGCGTGAACCAATCAGGAGACCGCGACGTCACAATATTGCAAACAACATTTATAGCGTGAAATAGGAGCGTTCAATCTCGGCCCCTCTACTCCATCTCACAAATGTCGGCAGTGAAGACAAAGGTACAGGCGCGTGAGCCTACTCAGCAAAACGCTTTTGTTTGTACGAGAACTCGTGCATAGGAGGCACTTTCCAGAGCAGCGCGTTCGTGCCCATGTCTCTGTCTGCAGTGCTGATGTTTGTTTGCTCTGGGCCGGCTTGCTAGAACAGCGTCCTGAGACTGGCTGAAAGAAAACAGTGCAAAGGGTGGGGTGCGCGAGCGTCTTGAGACGCGGAGTCCCGCTCGGCTCGTGCGCTCACTTTGGCAGTGCTTTTCTTCCCCATCTCAGCTGAGATGCTGTTTCTAGCAAGTCGGCCCTGGTTTGGAGCGAACGTTCGTTTATTCTACACTTGAATATTGGCGTGACTAAAACCTCACATGCACAAAGTTTTCAGTCACCAAAAGTTAAACCTTATCACTCTAGCGACGCGAAAACGACTTAAATTAGTCGTGTCACAAATCTAGAGCTCACGACCACCGCTAGGGGCTGTTTCAAGGCCTGTGGTTGGCCCCGAGATGCTCGCCTATTCAAACCAATGTATGGCCAAACTCTCTCAATAAACGGCTCTGGGCGAATGGGAGCCTGGTTGACGCGATCCAATGGGATCGAAGCGGTGTAAAAGGTGCCATGGCTAACCGGCGAATGGGAGCTGGCTTAACTTGGAGAAGGATTCAAGAGCCGTTTGGCGTGGTTTCAAAGCTGATGACGTCGGCTCGCTCCATGAGACAGGTAATGTTTTCGCATAAAAAAAAGCACACGGTCTGGTGTAGCCACGTGACTTCCGCCACTCACTCTCTCCTCTATATTTCTCCGACCTCCATGCGCAGGTTTCGGTTTTGAGCAGTTGCGTTTTTTTCGCTTTATTAAATATATACGTGACTCTGTAGCAAAATATTCATTGGGTAGTCTTCCGACACCATAATAAATCGCCAGGCAAAAAATTTAAAAACAATTTTGGGGGTGTCAGTGTCCCTGGCTGCTTCACACATTTGTGTCGGTTGCGTCCACAACAACCAAAACGACAGCAATGATAAAGACACTGGGACAACTGCGACTCATGATTGTTTCACGAGGCTAGTTCTTGCATTGCTTGTCACATTGTGCGAAGAACAGTTTTTTCGGTGACTATATTGTTGGTGTCGTTTTGGTCATTCTGAATGAAACCTATGCATTGTTCTGAACCAGGCTTGCTGGTATAATCTGTTTCGAAATACCTAACGCCACCACCACATCCGAAAAAAGGACATCATAAGAACTAGCACGCAAAACGTAAGTGGGGATGTTGGAGGAGCCTCAAAGATGGCGCGGAGACTCCATAGCGCGCATGGCCGCCGAGAGATGGTGCTAATAATCAATAAGGTCTATGTGAAAAAACAATTTTGGCCAAACTACTGTGAAGTGCCAAGCAAGTGCCCACCTAAACGTTGAAGATAAACTTAAAAAACTGGGGAATGGGCAGTTGTGAGATTAGAGAACTAAAGTGCAGAAGGGGCACAAGGTAGGGTGGGTCCACGTCAAGTTTCGTTGCATTGCACCGGCATGCTGATGCAAAGGAGCATCTCGGTTAGCAGGTGTGGTCTAAAGTCTGGGGTAAGCGCTTGATATGTTTTTGCTTATTTTTTTAACGTTTCCAAAGTAGTGGGTAGACGCTTATTGTGATGTGGGCACATGCTCAGTATTTTATGGTATTAAATTCCCACGCAATTTCCACTTGCTGTTGGGCATTGTCATTAGGCTGTATTTGCCGCATTTGTCTAGGCCTTCATTGGCACACACAGCGAAGATGCAGTTGGTACCATTTGGCACTGCCTAGAGGCAATGTTCAGTCAAGCAAGGTTGCTTCACTACTAGGTCTATCGACAGAAAGCAATTGCACTCATGGAATGCAAGAACAGCGGTTGTGCCTTGGCAGCAGTGGCGGCTATGGCGTCAGCTTCTCTATTGAATAGGATGTTGTAGTGCCACTACGACTCGGAACCAAAATGATGGCAACTAGTAATTTCTCGGAGCTCGCGGTGGCAGCCTTGTGGATACAAACACCAGTTCCGAAAAATCTAGCAACAAGTCGAATGGTGTCTGAAATTTCATTCTCTGTTATACATTAATTCTGGGTGAGTCGCGGTTCTGCAAAACCATCCGAATAATCAAGCATGTCCGAAATTTCAGCATCTGAAAAATCGGTTGGGAGCATTGTTGCGCAGCAACGTTGTTGGCACACATTTTGTGGCACATGCCAAAATGAGAACGAAACAATGGAGCATCTTGTTTTAGAATGTACGGGGCTTCGTCCTGCTTTCCCGAAGGGGTCAGCGGATTTGACGGGAGTGCTCGGGTTGGCGGATGAGAATGAAAGAATGGAGGAAAAAAGCGTTACGATCACAAAGAGGAGATTGGAAAACTGGTGAATACAGTTTAGGGAAAATGAAACAAGGACAAACAATTAGCACAGCTGGGGGACAGAAGGGACAGAGGAATATTGGGACTCCCTCCTCTGCGTGGCTCCGGCCCAAAGTCTTACACCTGTCCCCCAGTGGGTCTGGTTCAAGGGGGAACACCGACGAGGTTCACCAGAGGAAAATTGGCGACTCCCTCGCCTGGGGGAGGAGGTGGGGGGGCGGTGTTTAATTTTTTCTTTTTTTGCCCTATCCCCCAAAGGTATTCCTGGAAAGTACTCTACCTGCCCGGTTATAGTTGCAAGGAGGTAACGGGAGTATATTATTAAGTATGGAAGAGAAAGAACAGAAAAAAAAGGAAACAAATTTTTGAATTAATTAATTTAAGGCTAGGTGACGCGAGCTACCGCCCGGTATAAAGGGAAGAGCCAATATCTAATCCATCCATCCATCCTAAAGGAGATGCAAGCACTTGCGATGTGCTCACAAACAACTTGGCACATGAACATGCCTTGCTCTGTCCTGCCACTAGCATCCAAAAGGGGAGAGGCAGTTAGCATTGTATACTCATACATTTCAAATCTGACAGACAACTGGACGTTCCGAGGCTCCTAAAGTCTTGGAAGGTTCTTTCAGGTTAGGTGCAGCAGTCAAGGAGACAGCACTGTGGCCCCTGATAGAGAAAACCTTGAGATGGTGTACTCAAGCTGGATGACATGCACACGCACCAATATCTGTGTGACCTTGGTGTGTGTACATTGTCCTGTACTTACACTTTGTTTATGGCCCCTGGTTTTCAAGCATTGGCAACTTTTCCGGTGGCTACCATGGTGGCCAGCCCTCCGGTAGAAGTGGTGCGCCTCTCGAGACTGGATCGACCGCACTCTTCACCCACGTCCACGGTCGAGGACGGCATGTTAAAGTGTTCCGACGAGAAGGCGTTGACCCTGGAGCCAGGTGAGTTACTGGGCGGCGCAGAAGGCGTTGTTCGCAATGGACATCTTGACTTGTCTTCCCAGGAGCACTGGTGCACTACAGGGCTTTTCTGGAGAAGCACTTCATTCACAGTGTCAGCATCGCATGTCTGCTCTCACTGGTGAGTGAGCGGATGGTACCTAGCACATCTGGCACCTTCTTAGGGAGATCATACTTAATCGGCATTTTTGATGGGCATGATTAATGATACAAGTGATATACTAGTTTTCTCCTCAAGAAAGAGATTGGCTTTTTGCAGAGTGTTGCTGTTTTCCCTCTTTTATGATACTTGCATGCGCATTTATTTGTTATTTTTATCAAAGCATACACATTTAGAGTGCAAAATATGTTTTGTTTCAGGGCTCACCGAATCCGCAGTTGAACTGCCTGCTTGGACTGCGACTCAGCCTAAGCGCTCCGGCAGATTGGGGCGTCGCTCAAGGTATTGGCTTCAACGCACTAGCCAATTTCCTCGTAAGCTAGAAGCCCACTATAAAGCTTCTTTTGGCCAGGTCTGGAAATGCCCGTCTTTTGGGGGGAGGAAAACGGTAGGTGCCGGAGCAGAAGTTCACTTTTGAAGCACCTTATCGGTTGCCTCTTGTTTTTTGTTGTTTCAAAAGGTACCACCGTGGCCGTCTCGCTGTCACCTAAAGTGGCAGCATCCTGTACCATCACCGTCACGTAGGTGTTTCTTCACTGCATCCCCCTCTCCTCCCGACTTTGGCAGCGGCCCGCAAACACTGCTGGAGTCGGCTATGGGAAGCCATGCTTTTACGAGAGGGTGCGAAGTCTTGCCGGGAGTTAGGAGGCTTTCGTCAGAGCCTTCGAAAGAAAACTCTTTAAAAAAGCCTCAAGATTGGCCATTTAAAAAATGCAGGTTTTGCTTTTCATTTTTTTTAACAAAATGTTTTTGAAAACACAATCCAAAACAACCCCCCCCCCCCCCCAAAATTTTTTTTTTTTTTTTTGTGAGCATTGCAAGGTTATGTTGTTGAGACAGCATTAAAAACACTTTTGTCACAGAGTTGCATATTTGCTGAGAAAGAGATACAAAGTCAAAGACGAAACTAGTGGACCAGTGCGTCTGAAGAGAGTTTCTCAAGCCGTTTCAGTGAAATCAATGCGATTTCAATCTTTTGGTGATCACAAAACTTGTCCTGTGTATTTTGTTATTTGTAATAAAAAACATATGCAAAGGAAAAAAAAAAATTTAGACAGCCTGGAGGGAAAGGATATCAAAACAAATTTACCACCAAAACAATTTTTTTTTCTAGAGCTATATTTACGGCGTGGAATAAATTTCTAGTTGGCTCCTGCGTGCCAATCAGCGCAAGCTGATTGGCAAGTTACGCCAATCAGTACCGCCGCTGAAGTTTCCACAACCCTCGTGCCACCACCGCACGCCTAGTGTGTCATGCGGTGGTGGCTGAACATGCTTTCCACGCCACCGTCGTTAATTTCTAACTGGCGCACCGGTCTATCACGTGGTGCTTGTGCTTTTTCGGGAGCTTCCTATGGGCTCTAAAAGTTGCTTATTATTCTTCCTTTTTTGTTGCACTTAAAACAAAGATTAACAAGTAACTTTGAGAGCCCATAGGGAGCTCCCGAAGGACCGCAAGCACCACGTGATTATAGTGGCCACTTTTCCGCGGGCTCCCGTGGGCGTGCCAACTACAGATTTGTTTCGCGCCGTAAATATAGCTCTAAAAATGTTTTTTTTTTTTTTTTTTTTTTTTATATATATTTATAACATTCTTTTTTTATAGAGGCTGTTTTCAAAACTTGATTTTTTTCCTTTGCATACCGTATTTACTCCCATAATGAGTCCCATATTGGTACCCCCCACAACGGATACCAATATTTGGACTTTTTTTTTTCCTCGTGTAATCAATGCACCTCCAATTTTTAGCTCCACGAATCTCGAATAGCATCCAATTTAGCTTGCCATCAAGCCAATTCTCTCTTGCCGCCAAGCGGTCGGGCCAAGTCAAGCCAAGACAAGCCACTTTCGTAATGGCCGCAAGTGCGTAGTTGCAGAAATGATCAACCGTGAAACTGAGTGGTGCACACACTTGCCGAAGCTTGGGTCAAGGAATTGCCCAGCCTCAGACATTCTTCGCCTATCAGATGCATTGATGTCAACAAACGCGCCGTCGTCTGTGGTCCGCTTTCGGACAGTGAAATCGTGAGAGTGGTTAGGCCTTATTTCACATACTTCAGGTAAATGTGTTTATTCAATCCGTAACAGAACAGCGCAGCGAGGTGCATGCTACGTCGTAGGTTGAGAGCGTCCGGCAGCAGCCGTCTTCATGAACGAAACTTGATCCGTGGGAGCGGGCCTTGGTGGTCGGACTTCGTAGGAGTTCTTATACGCGTAGTTGCGGTATATACCTGAGCGTGCCGCCAGATACTAGCAATACATATAACCTAAGAACGGTTGTGTTGCTTTCCGTGCTGAATGAGCTTCATGAGGCACTTTTCTTGCCGCAAAAGGCACGCCGAAAGTGCCGTAAAAAGAAAAAAAATCGTAAGGGTGCAGGCGAGCTGGTGAATATTAAGCATGTTTAAATTAACCCGAGACTGGGGTAGAGAAGGAGCGTCAAAACGTAGAAGGGACAGAAAATAGACAGGACGACGTCTCAAACTCGGCTAACTCTTTTATTTAGTCCACCTCCTTATATAGTCTCAATCTCAAGGTCATCTCCACCAACACAAAAGGTGGAGATGACCTTGAGATTGAGACTAGATAAGGAGGTGGACTAAATAAATGAAGTTAGCTGAGTTTGAGATGTTGTCCTGTCTATTTTCTGTCCCTTCTGCGTTTTGATGTTTCTTCTCTACCCCAGTCTCAGGTTAATTTAAACATGCCCTAAAAAGGTTTGCAATCTATAAAGGATGGTTATGTGGCGCGCTCCCAACCAGTTGTGGGTGCGCCTCGATCAGTGGAGACGTGCCACAGTACCTTGCTGTGTCATATTGGCAGCTAATATAACATTTGCACGAAGTGTGTAAATGCAAAAATTTTACCCTGCATAATGAATGCCCCCCCCCCCCCCCCCCCCCCCCCAAATATGTCATATTTTCGGGAAAAAAAAAGTGTGTTCATTATGTGAGTAAATACGGTATGTCCTTTGATGAAGATGTGCCATACACATTCTGTTACTTCTCACATTTCACACGACTGAGGAAAAGAGTGAGAGAAGTCTCGAGATGCCGATTCCCGACCGGCTGCTGTCTCGCGGAAATAAGCTGGATTTTGAATCACAGATATTTCTTTTTGATTCTTGGGCCCTCATAGGTCCACGAAATTTTAGTTATGCATAAAATTGTTAAATTGATTGATGCGAGAAATTGGAGTTCACATACGCTGCCCTTTTGTAACCACCCTAAAGCACCGGGCATGTGCCCGTGTCGCAGTAAGCGCCCACCCCCTATTGTTGGAACATTTGAAATATTCGCAAAGGACATATCGAGTGCTTACCCCAGCAAACTTTGAACCACCAAGCTAACCGAGATGCTTCACGAAACACACGGGTGCAAAGCAGTGAAGCTTTGCATGCATGTGTCCATGCAAAGCGGTAACGTTCGACAAGAGAAGCAGGTTTGATGAGCGTGGTACAGTTGTTTTAATACTAAGAAGAAGGGCGTCCGCACGAGACATTGTGTATACCTCCCTGTCCACATATTTTTTCGAGGAGCACAACCATATTACTTGCAATTACGTGTTTTGGCTCGTTGTGCTCGGCAGCACCCCCATTCTCTTGGATACTTCCACTAGATACCTATACTGCTTCCATATTGTTAAGAGTCCAAGTAATTTAAGTGAATCCTCAGTCTTTCGCTGAAAAATCTTGGATGACCTTCATTAATCTGGAACGTAAAACCCCCAGAATTTATTTTCTTAATGAGACTTGTTAGGCTGGTTTTTGCATGATGCTCAGGAAACTTGCAAGTGCAAATAGAAATGGACACAAACGAGGGGGCACGGACAGGCACCACTTTCAACTAGTCTTAATCGTGGCCAGACAGCAGCATACCATGTCTGACGGAACATGCGCAGTGTCCATCTCTTTTTACTCTTGCACGTGTCCGTTTAATTTCCTTGACTTTTACCTGCGGGACTGCATGCAAGTTTGCGCGGTTTACTGATACTAGTTGGCAGCATATTTGCAAGCGTTTGACTGGCAGGGCGGAGTTCACGGCGTTGGACCTGAGCAGCTACAGGTGTCTCTTGGACCCCCTGCAAGTGCACTTTGAGGACCTGTTGCTTCCAATGCCCGTGCCCGAACCTGTATCCCCACAGCTCTGGAGGGGGCTCGTCTTCGACACGCTGTGGCAAGAGTATGTCTTCCCCAGTTTGCCCAAGTTTGTTTTTCAGAGTAATATTGCATACCTTTCTTTGTGCAAAGATGGCATTTCTGTTTGGGGTTGTGAGCTGGTTACATGGGTTATATATGTTGGAGTTTTGCTTTTATGGGTTATATGTTGACATTGCAAAGTTTATGGTTGCTTTGGATTCCTTCCAATTGGTCTTTCTGTTTTCTGATAAGTGGAGCTCATCGTGCATAATTGTGACATGAAGGCTAGCGAGGGGAAGAAATGTAAAAGAATACGTAATACTATGCTTAGATGGGCCAGTTGGTACGGTGCTTTATACCCTTTGGAAAACATAATACATTTTATTAAAGTAAGTATACTATAAAAAATTTACCTCCCATAGAGTAAATTTGGAGCTGCTTCGGGCAGCGGCGTCACGAGGGTCAGCGGCACCTGGGGCGCTAGCCCGCCTTGACAACCCCCTGCGACGCCCCTCTCTCCCCTCCCCGCTTTCGCGTGGCCCGCCGCGACACCCCCCTGAGCCCTGCACCCGGGGTGGTCCGCCCTCCCCTTGTGACGCCACTGGCTTCTGGGGTTCCATGTGTCAATACAATCTGTTCACACGGGCGTTTGTTCGGGGCACTTTTCCATATTACTATATTTGGAAGGCTTCGGTTTTGTTTAAAAACGAAGAATGGTGGTTGTGTACTCAACTAAATGAAGAACTTCAGAAAAGTGTGCATTTGTACAGCAAACTAAATACAGTGGAACCTCATTGATACATTCCCGGTTTTCGCGTTTTCCCGGCTTTCACGTTCAGAAGCGCCGGTCCCGCAAAGCTCTCACAGGAACACTTGTATTTATTTCATGCTTAGTGTGTTTGCTTTCCCGCTTCTTACGTCCAAAAAGCTGCCAGCCGATTCATACACGATGGACCGATCTGTGGATGGATTGATCACGTAACGGCATGTCTGCAGATCGTCCGCATTCCAAGCACATTCACACAGGTAATGACTGCGTAGTGGCACTGTCGTCCAAGAGCTAATGCGACGTTTGTCGCTATGGTTGTGGCACTATCACATTAATACGAAAAAGAATTGGTGTGTGCTGCTGTTACGTGCCACGTGAGACAGACCACCGTGAGAGGCTTAGGACGAAGTGCCAGTACCTTTACTAACCCAATGCATAACGCAGGTGTGGTGCTGCTTGAGGAGGGTTGGAGTAGAAGCGACGGAGTCCTGGGCTTGCTGAGGGGCGTTTGCCCATGTCCTCGTCCCCACGCACTCGCGTGTAACATTTCAATACACCGCAGACACAAAAAGGTCTTTCCCAACCACGTTGGGTCTTCGTCTTGCCTGAAGAGAGGCTGCATGGATGTGCTGGACAGAGTGCAGTGTGCTAGACGAGTTTTGACGGAAGCTTCTTGACAGAAACCTCTAGGAGTACCGGAACCTGCAGTGCGTCATCTGGGAACCGTTTCTGCAGCTTTCTTCATGAGTGGAACCAAGAATCGCACTACAAAACAAACAAGCAAATGGACGTAACGGACAAAAGGAAACAATGCGTCATCTTTGTTCTGCTTAGATGGATGGATCCTGCATCCTTTATAACGGGCCGTAGCTTGTGCCACCTAACCTAAAAACAACAACGAAAACCTGGTTTCTCCTTTCCCCCTCCCAAGCCAATGCGTTTTTGTAACTTTGGATCGGGCAAAAACTTTGTTTTGTAACTTTGGATCGGGCAAAAAAACTTAAAACATCACCCCATGCCTACTTCTGTCAAAAAAAGGTGTTTTTTTGCCAGACGAAACTTTCAGTCGACCCCCACCAAAAATTTGTGAAAATCACGGACCGAATAAGCCAAGCACCTTTTCACTGGTGGATTTTTTACTTCAAACCACGCTTCAAACACGTTTACCATAATATCCCGAAAGATAACCCACCTAAAATTGAAAGCAAATCGGATGAAAATAAGAAGTGAGCCATATTTCGGTGTGCAATAAAAAAAAAAAAAAAAAGTTGCAAAATTTGTAGTTTTAGATTTTGTGACCTGCGAAACTTGCGGTTGTAGGGAGGGGTAACGAACCAGAGACGACTATCCTTCCCATTCAGCTATGTTCGCTTATCTCCCACCGCGGCTAAGTAATTCATTTCTGCCGAGGTCACCATTGGCCACGGCCCTGCAGTAACTGGGCTCTCTTTCTGTGTTTTGGAAAAAATAGCAAATCATGCCAAGATAGGGGTGGGTTTCGTTTGGGGGGGTGGGGCATCTCGGGATATTACGGTAGTCTGACAACGAAACTTTTGTCTTTCTTTAAAGAGCAACATGAAGATGGTGCGTCATTGTGCTTTGTTCTGTTTTTGTTTGTTTGCTGGTCTGTGTTTCTTGCGGTTCTTAGTTCCACGTGTGAGAGAAGCTGCAAGAACTTCGCCCGACTGATGTGCTGCAGGTTCTTGTACTTTTCCCTCTCCTTGTAAAGAAGCTTCTGTGAAAACTCGTCTAGCATGCCGCGATCTCTCCTGCACGTTCACTACAGCCTGTCATCCAGCAAGACCTTTTTTGTGGCTTTGGTGTACCGAAGTGTTGTACACGATTGCATGGAGCTGATCCGATGACGACATCAGCAAATGCTCCTCCGGCAGCCCAGGAGTCTATCGCTCGCCAGCGTTTCAGTCAACCACAGCGCCAGGTTGAAACTACAAGCTTTTAATGCGAAAGCATTAACAGTCCCATGAAGCGAGCCGATGTCATCAGCCGCGCCAAACGGCAGACAAATTCCCGAAGCCGCGATCTGAGGCATCCCAGCTTTGAAACCACGCAAAAAGCCACTCAAGACGGCCGCGAAATGAAGCCGCCATGCGTCAGTTTCGATTCCAGCGCTGCGTGCGTGCACCGGAGCATAAGCGCCGAGAGGATCAGAAGCGGCATCGGCGCGAAGAATGACATTCATGTTTTCGCGTTCACAACTCATAAGAAGTGCTTAGGTGTACCTCGAGCCTTTTTTTTTTTTATCGTATTCGAGCACACCGACGAATGTATACAAACTTTTCCTGAACGTATTTGAGAACATGCCTACAAACTTTTACAGTATACAGTCAAACCTCGATGTAACAAACTTCTAAGTAACGAAACCCCCAACGTAACAAAGTACTTAACTTTTTCTAACCGCAAGTGTATGCACGCCATGTATTTTTTCCTCTATGTAACAAAGTTCCGTTTGCCGAAATTTCTGTGTAACGAAGTTTCATGGACAACTCGTCACAAACTTTTGGGTCCCAAAGGGGACTTTCAGAAGCACATGCGCTGAGACGGGCCCCTGATAAAGGGGAAAGGGTGAAACAGGCCGAATCTGGCGAGCGTAGTGTACAGAACGGCCACTAAAGGACACTAGAGCCGTCGCCATTTCGTCCGTCGGCTTTGTTTGCGCTGCATAGTTTGTTTCGAGGCCTAACTAAAAGCATACGTTTCTCGTTGTCCTGGGCGATGGAGCCTTGAAGGCGATGGAGCCGCCCCTGGCCCAGAAAAAGGTGATGGACTACTTTCAACCGAAATAAAGGCATCCTCGGTGAGTTTTCTGTACGCGAGAAACATTCGTGGAAACTTTCTTTAACGTTAGCCCCGAATTTCTATGTGGCAAAATTTCAATGTAACGAAGTAAATTCCAAATTTTACCGACTTCGTTACATTGACATTTGACTGTAGGGTATGTTTATTTCATTTTATACCTACAAATGTTTACAAACATTTTCTAAGCTAATTTGACTTCACACCTAAGAATGTTTGCGTAAAATTAATTGTTTCGTGACAGTTGCTATCTCTCTCATCTCTAGCACCCCCCTTAATGGCGTACTCGTTCTTTACGTTTTCCCGGATCATGCATTTTATTTCCCCCATCCCCTGAAAAATGTATCAACGAGATTCTACTAATAATAAAGCTTTTTTTTTTTTCCTTTTTTTTTTTTTTTTTTTATGCTGTAGATCAGCAATTCTCAAATGGGCTTCCGAAGACCTCCCTGGGGCCCCTAAAGCCCCCAACCGTCAGTCAACCCAAGCAATAAACCTTCTTTTTAATTGTTGCTGGCTGTCCCACAAAGCTAGACAGACTAGATAGTGTGTTCCGAGCAAGTAGGGTTCACTACTTTCCGTTTCAGAGCTTCAAAGTTGGTTTGCACATAATTAGTTTTCTTCATTTACCATTTTTTCATTGTAATCGCCTTCCTTCCTTCCCCCCCCCCCCTCTTTAGCTTGTTATAACCGGGGGTACCAAGCCACCGATACCTAGCATGACGGAACAGCACACGCGCGCCGGTGAAAGGGGTGGAAAGATGAGCAGCGTGTTCTGAAAACCTTGCTCCCTTCCGAACCTTGTTCAAAGTCACGGTGCAGTTCGAAAAGCTCTGTAAAAAGCACGGTGCAAAGATACAAAAGTGGTGAAAAAGAGCGGAGCAAAATAAAGGGGGTGGCCACCGCGGCTGACTGGCGGCCGAATGTGTCATGCCGGTGTGTTGGATGGCAATTTGTGGATGTAACAGCTGGAAAGGTGAATATACACGTCCCCCATGGGTGCTCGATGGGACCGGCATTTGTGAACATGAGATCTTGGAAAACGTAGGAAAACAGCCGAGAATATATCGAGGTTCTAGCGTACCCGTCTAGTGTAACACAGATCTCATACTTTAGCTGGTGCATCAATAATGCTATCCCAGCTGCAATGCCTTGCAATTCAATAGGGCTGTGCGAATATTCGAGTTTTGAGTTTGAATCAAATGATTATTGTCCAAATATTTCGATTGCAGTTTCGGATTCCTAATATATTCAAGTTTTCAAATAAATCAACTAGGATTATGCAAATATTCTAATGTTCGAATAGTAGTTTAAAATAACACGCTATTCGATGTGAACTGCGATATTTATACTTTCCTATACTCCGCGACAACTTTTCTTGGCAATGCAGTGGAAGGTACAGGCCCGCGTCCCCTCTCCCATTTTGAGTGTACGCGGGCTCTCCTCCTCCCCGGAAATGGGGGAGGAGGAGAGCCTGCGTACACTCAAAATGGGAGAGGGGACGCGGGCCTGTATCTTCCACTGCATTGCCAAGAAAAGTTGTCGCGGAGTACAGTGTTGAGCGCGACGGGTTAGCTTTGGTGAGCACGCTTCTTACTGAGCACAGGTGCGCTGCGGAGAAGCAACGCATACGGAAGTGAGCTCCGTGGGTGTTTCTTCTCTGCAGTGCACCCGTGCTCGGTAAGAAGCGCGCTCAACGGGACTGGCCTGCCGCAATGTACGCTGGGAAAAAGTATGAATATCGCAGCTGCGCACTTTGGAAAACAAACTTTCTACGCGGGATGGTGCACGCACATGCCTGGTGTATTTAAAAAGCAACGGAAACTTTGTGAATGTTGCTATGCACATTGCAGTAAAATTTTCAAAAATAAACTGGCTATTATGCAAAGGTATATGTTAGGCAGAGACGTCGACAACCTACATTATTCATTGGTCATTGTTTTTTTTTGTTTTTTTTAAATTTGACATTGAAAAAATTATACTTGCAGATAGCAAGAAGATTGATAAATCCCCTTGATCAGGTATTGCTGGACATCTCTATAGGTTTAATTTTATGTCAAATCAGTCGTTCACTTGTCATCCCAATGTAGGCATTGAGCTTTCTGAGGCTACAGTTCATAAATATAGTTGGATTGAAATTAACTCGGCTTAGAAGTGGACAAGTGGAAGCTTGGGAACAACCTTCACTACAGTTGGATTTTCGTTTATTCAACATTCCAGTAGAAAATATTCAGCTGAAACCACTATTCACCTCGAATTCGCTTAGAAATCAAAATTCACTATTTGCACATGCCTAAATTTAATGCATTGAATATTAGTACTGTTACTGAAAATTCGGGTTCGTTAACCCCTGGATGGTCGTGGCCATACATGTACGGCAGCGGTTCCACATTTGAAAGTGCCCGCCCGAACGGGGAACCGTGTGCACCGCAGAAGGTGTTGCTGTTTCTATGTCTTAGGAAGAGAGTCGTGTTTTTTGGCCTGAGTAAATAAACTGTGCATCGCAGAGAGCTCAAACTCCGTGTGACGCTAGCGGTTGGGATAGAACACAAAATTTTGAGAGCATGAAGTAACCTGGATCAAAAGATAATTAGAAAAAGACGAAATCTCTCTATGAGCCGACGTCCACCAAAGCCAAATACAGTCTAAGCTCGTTATAACAGACCTTGATTTTGACCAAGATTTCGGTCTGTTGTAAAAGCAGTATGTTGTATGCAGATATGAAGTTGAGTCAATGGTATGTAGAGGAAAACCAACCAAACTTCACAAATCAGTATGTTATACCCAAATGTCTGTTGTAACCAGGTCTGTTATAAGGAGCTTGGACTGTATTTTCAAAACCAGAAATAACATTCTGGGTGCATGTAACATCTGCTCTAGTGTAAAAAAAAAAAAAAAAAAAAAAAAAAAAAAAGCTTGTCAGCAAGAAAGATAGCAATACCTTCTTTCTCACTGGCAAGTGTTTTCCGCTGATACAAATCCCACAAGCATCCACAACGTTGAGTTCTGTTTTGATGACATAGGGCGTAGGTAAACGTGGGCTCATAGAGAAATTTTTTCTCGATGATCTTGTGATTCAAGTAACGTCATGTTGTCTATCTTTTGTGTTCTATCCTAACCGCTTGCGTCACATTCTCTCAGAATTTGAGCTTTCTGCAGTGCATACTTTATTTACCGGGGCTGAAAAGCACGGTTCTCATTTCTCGGGAACTCCCCTGGGCCGTGTACTATATATTCACGTTTTGCTTTGCTGCGAATATTTATTGTTTTGAAACTAGACGCTCGGGGCGCGTGATACGCACGAGATGGTCGCTTCGGATGTCGGCTGCTCTGGCGCTTGTCACAATTTAAGCACCGTGATGCTTTTTCCTCATCTATGCGGCATTCTTGTTTCATCTTGTGAACATTGTAAATAAAATTCTTGGTGTTCATACTCGATTTGACATTAAACTTTTTGGCCATTGTTTGGCACTATTCAATTTGAGTTGAACTTTCACTATTCATACACCTCTATGATTTACCATTTTACCTGGATGACAGCTGCAGTTGCCTCGAAACGATAAATCCTTTATGAGGAGAAATGGGCTTTGCATTGCTAATTTTGGTATTAGGGTCTACTCCCCTCGTATGCGGTCTAATTGACTAAACATTTACCGGTTCTGTAAACGCCGTAGGTTCTTTTGCAGGCCAGACGGGGAGAGCCTGCAGGCTCGATGCGACCTGTAAACCCTCCACTTTGACACCTCTGATATGCACAATCTTGGCATCAAGAATGGGTATACATATGCGGAGAGCGATGTTCCCTGCTAGTAAAAATAAGGTACCCCAGCGCCTTTTGATCTGGATGAGCATCGTACCGGCGTGCGGTCGTGTATCACTACTGCGTGGTGCACAAAGGCTAGCGGTTGTACCGCACTGGCTCAATTGCTCATCTACAGCTGGGAGACAAGTCGCCCGTTGAGGCAGACTAAGTTCTAGGCTGTATAGACATACATACAACCCAATGTTTTTTTGAATGATGTGACTAAATTACGACTATGACGATGGCATGTATGGAATACGAGCGCAAGAATGGCTCTGGTTGAATAGGGTAGAACATACACCGAGGCAATGTCAAATATAGATCACTGTGTCAAAACCAAAACACTAGAGTTTGCTTTTCTTCGTTTTGGTTTAAGTCAGTTGGGGGACAATAGTTGGGTGCTTTTCCTGCCGCAGATGCAGCGCAGCACCAGAAGCCCAGCAGTCGGTGCTCCGACTGGCGTCGCTAGTGCCTGGCCCGGAGCTGTTGAAGCAGCTGTCCGAGCGCCTGGCCCCCTGGCTGGTGTGCCGAGAGCCCAGGAAGGGCAGCCTGCACGCCATCTTCCTGGCCCCTCAGCGGAGGCACATCCTGCTGGCAGTGGACAGCCTGGCTGGTCAGCTGGTGGCGTCGCTCCTGGTCGAGTCCTGGCAGCTGCTGGCCCCTGTGCAAGTTTTTTTGGAGAAGCTTTGCTCACCAGAGAGCCGATGCTAGGCCGGCCTCCAGAACCTCGGCCTGATTTTTCTCTCGAACAGCCCCGTGCCTCAACACCAGACTTTCTCGGGTGTTTTGTGCTCGCCTGACTGCCAATGTGCCTTCCGACGTCTGCTGGGGGGACTACAGGTCCCAGGTGTGCAGGTGCCTGGACTAGCCAATTTAGACAAAGATGTAAAAATGTTTCCCATTGCTATATGCAGAATTATTTTCCTATTACGAGGTGCGTGGAGAAAGTAGGTTCCGTTCTCGCGTGTGCCCCCGCAAGCGTGTTGACTTTTGTGTCATGCATGCACGGTTGTGCTCCTTTATGTGTTGGTCACACACTAATGCTAATTTGTGACATGGATTTTTTTTTATCTTTTGTTTTTTGCATCAATTCCGTTTAAGTTGTAGAACGGCCTGCCCACTCTGAAGTCCGGTCTGTAGTAAGATTTTTAAATTCCACAAATGTCGGACCACATAGGTCGTGAACAAATTATCGATAGATTTTCAATATTTTAGATTAAATGCAATGAGCGAACGAATGGTACAGTATCAAGTATGAATGTTTCATGAAGGGCAACAGAGCATTCGCAGCACAACACAATGCAGATCAATAAGTGTTAAATTGTTGCAAAAACTTTATTACAAATAGTCAATAAAAATCATTTTGGAGAACCGGTGTTTTACAACTTCTGATCTCGCAACACGTCCCCAAAGTTCTGGAATCATTGCTTCACATAATGGTTAGAAAAAACTTGAGTAGCACAAATGATCTTCTAGGTGAGGGCTAAAGATGTTGGCTCGGGACTCGGGTGGCAGACCTCTGCGAGGAGGATATCCCAAAACTTGTTCACAATATGACAGAGGTCTTAACATTGAATGGGATTACGTCAAATCCTTGATTAAGGTATGCAGAATTTAGTGAAAATAAAGCATTTCACAATGTTGCCTATAGTTTCTGATCCTAAAACGGTACTTACTTTCTGGACATGCCTTACATTACTTTTGTATTTTTTACTCCTTAGTGACACTGCGGACTGCTTCGTAATAGTCTGCTGGGCCCACATACAAACATGACGAGTAAAACGCTATGGAAATACATGATTCATATACTAATCCTATACAGTTTGGTGAAAGTAAATGAGAAGTGATAGATCCAGTTGCGTACAAAAGATTCAAGGGTTAGAGCCGCCTAAAAAGAAAAGTTTTTTTTTTTAATCAGTTTACATTTGGTTTTGGCTATAAAGCATGGACAATATACCAAGGTTGGCTGTGATAAATATCTGGAGGCAATGCAAGTGGGAAATGCTCGACCGAATTTGTAAGAGGGTGTTACCGAGCTCTACCCCTTCTTTGCTGATGGTAGGACCATGACCTACTGTTATTTATTGCAATGTAGATCATGGGTAGGTTAGTTTTATCAAATGCGGCCTAGTTTTGCAAAGGCCCTAGATAATTGTGTTCCAAATGACCTGCGAGAGTTCACAAAAAGAGCCGGCATAATTTCAGAATTGGTGTGTGTATGGTCAAGTCGATTCCGAATTGTGGTGTGCCCAAGTGCGAGTGTTGTGGAAAGGGTTTGGGACTCCACTAGTCATGTGCGAATAGTGGATCTTGAGCTCGAAGTGAATAGTGATTTTGGCCGAATATTTTCGAAGCGAATATAGAATATTTTCTCCATGCTTTTCACTAGTGCACCACGAATTTAAACAAAAGCCCAGATAAACTTGAGAAGGTTGTTCCCAAGCTTCCACTTGTTCATTTCTAAGCTAATTTTAATCCACTTATATTTATAGACTGCAGCCTCAGGAAGTCCAATGCCTACATTGGGATAGCAAGTAAATGAACACATTTTACATAAAATTAAACCTAGAGATGCTCACCTATACCTAATATTGAGACTTGGAAACTATCTTGCTGTATACAAGCATCCTCTTTTATATCTAGAATTTGAGAAAATAAAGCGAGTGAATGATGAACGCAGATTGTCAGGACATCTCTGCCTATCATATACTCTCGCATAATAGCGTTTAATTTTGAAACTTTTACTGTTGTGTAGATATCAACTTTCACAAAGTTTCCATTCCTTTTTAAATACACCAGACATGCATGTTCACCATCCTGCTTTGAAAGTGTGCTTTCCTCCTGAGCACACAACTGCAATATTTGTACTTTTCGAAGTGATTATCACGGTGCCCCGTTGAGTGCGCATCTTGCCGAGCACCCTTGCACCGCGGAAAAGTAACACTCGCGAAGGCGAGCTCCACGGGTGTTGCTTCTACGCAGTTCACCAGTGCTTCATAAGAAGCGCACTCAACGGTGCTAAACCACGAATCTGTGATGAATCTCTGTAGAAGCGGGTGCATTAAAAAAAACCTTGACTGCTGCAGCCCATATTGAGCCCCCTTCCAATAAACACATGCTACAAGAACGCAGTACTTTTAAATTTTGACAAGAATTCTAATGCCCGCGTCCCACTAGAGAGACAGACAGAGACAAAAGACAGCGACAAGCCTCAAACCCATGCAGCATGTTCGTGATGGTACCATTGGCAGGCGTTTAGTCGTTCGGTGCTTACGAAGTAAGCACGAGCGACTGCAAGCCTGCCAAAGATACCCTCGCGTGCATGATGCTCGTGTTGGAGCATAGCCTCCGTTACTCTACAAAGCGTCTCAAATCGCGAAAGACTCTGGTTTGAGGCTTGTCTTTGTCTTTTGTTTCTGTATGTCGCTCTAGTGGGATACGGGTATAAGAGGAACCAGGCAGACAAGCAATCTGTTCTGGGCTGCAAGCTATAGTGAGACGGGGATAGCAGACTCGAGGACGATGCAGCTGTGGCACTAACTTCAGCTGCCCACTCGCACGCTTGTCTCAATCTTGTTCATAATGACTTATCAAAACTTTGTTGGACAGCCTGCCTGCCAGCATCTTGGCCATTACAGCAGGCTCGGCCACTCGATCCGACGAGCAGGCAATATGGGGGAAACTATATGCTTGCGGAGCAGAGTACCGTAGTGGTTCATTTATGTCTGCCATGTGATGTGATGTGCATGCAAGTATTGTGGGAAGTGTCTTCTATTCTTGCAAGAGATGCAGTAGTGTGCAGCTAGTGCAGCAGTGCCCCGAGTGCCCCTGCAGTACATGCCCAATTGCGCATTTGCCATCGTGCCTCTCTCTCAGAAGAATGTGTTCGGTCGGCAGCAGCATGGTCCACTTTAATGACCAGTATCGTTTGCATGTCGGAACTCCGAGACGGCACCTGCATTATAAAAACGCAATTATACACAATCGAAAGCTGAGGCTTCCAGCTAGTCGGGCTTCAATGCAAGATATACATTTTGTTAATGCTAAGCGAAGAATGGCTTCTGCCCAGAATTCTTTGCTCTTCAAGACTGCAGTACTTGGACAATTTTTCTGCTCATTCCCTTTTCTTCACCAACAAAAAGTTGCTGGAAAAGGGAAAACAAATGCAGTACTCTGACTCCGCCATATCTATTTAGTTGCTCTTGGGTTGCCAACAGCAACTAAATAGATATGTATAGATAGACTGGTCAACCTTTCCTGGCGGTGCAAAATGGCAATTTTTTCAACTTGTCCCATTTTCAAAGCTCTTGTAGAAATTCTGTGGTGACCTAGAGTATTCCTTGTTCAATATCTTGTTCATGCATTTTATCACTTGCATATGTTCTGCAGCTTAGGGTTCATGGGGATCATAAATCTTGACAAGCATCTTGTGCCATCCTCATGGCCTAGTCCAGGTGTCTCAAACACTCGGCTCGCGACTCTGTATAGATAGACTGGTCAACCTTCCTGGCAGTGCAAAATGGCAATTTTTTCAACTTGTCCCATTTTCAAAGCTCTTGTAGAAATTCTGTGGTGACCTAGAGTATTCCTTGTTCAATATCTTGTTCATGCATTTTATCACTTGCATATGTTCTGCAGCTTAGGGTTCATGGGGATCATAAATCTTGACAAGCATCTTGTGCCATCCTCATGGCCTAGTCCAGGTGTCTCAAACACTCGGCTCGCGACTCTGTATAGATAGACTGGTCAACCTTTCCTGGCAGTGCAAAATGGCAATTTTTTCAACTTGTCCCATTTTCAAAGCTCTTGTAGAAATTCTGTGGTGACCTAGAGTATTCCTTGTTCAATATCTTGTTCATGCATTTTATCACTTGCATATGTTCTGCAGCTTAGGGTTCATGGGGATCATAAATCTTGACAAGCATCTTGTGCCATCCTCATGGCCTAGTCCAGGGGTCTCAAACACTCGGCTCGCGACTCTGTATAGATAGACTGGTCAACCTTTCCTGGCAGTGCAAAATGGCAATTTTTTCAACTTATCCCATTTTCAAAGCTCTTGTAGAAATTCTGTGGTGACCTACAGTATTCCTTGTTCAATATCTTGTTCATGCATTTTATCACTTGCATATGTTCTGCAGCTTAGGGTTCATGGGGATCATAAATCTTGACAAGCATCTTGTGCCATCCTCATGGCCTAGTCCAGGTGTCTCAAACACTCGGCTCGCGACTCTGTATAGATAGACTGGTCAACCTTTCCTGGCAGTGCAAAATGGCAATTTTTTCAACTTGTCCCATTTTCAAAGCTCTTGTAGAAATTCTGTGGTGACCTAGAGTATTCCTTGTTCAATATCTTGTTCATGCATTTTATCACTTGCATATGTTCTGCAGCTTAGGGTTCATGGGGATCATAAATCTTGACAAGCATCTTGTGCCATCCTCATGGCCTAGTCCAGGGGTCTCAAACACTCGGCTCGCGACTCTGTATAGATAGACTGGTCAACCTTTCCTGGCAGTGCAAAATGGCAATTTTTTCAACTTGTCCCATTTTCAAAGCTCTTGTAGAAATTCTGTGGTGACCTACAGTATTCCTTGTTCAATATCTTGTTCATGCATTTTATCACTTGCATATGTTCTGCAGCTTAGGGTTCATGGGGATCATAAATCTTGACAAGCATCTTGTGCCATCCTCATGGCCTAGTCCAGGTGTCTCAAACACTCGGCTCGCGACTCTGTATAGATAGACTGGTCAACCTTTCCTGGCAGTGCAAAATGGCAATTTTTTCAACTTGTCCCATTTTCAAAGCTCTTGTAGAAATTCTGTGGTGACCTAGAGTATTCCTTGTTCAATATCTTGTTCATGCATTTTATCACTTGCATATGTTCTGCAGCTTAGGGTTCATGGGGATCATAAATCTTGACAAGCATCTTGTGCCATCCTCATGGCCTAGTCCAGGTGTCTCAAACACTCGGCTCGCGACTCTGTATAGATAGACTGGTCAACCTTTCCTGGCAGTGCAAAATGGCAATTTTTTCAACTTGTCCCATTTTCAAAGCTCTTGTAGAAATTCTGTGGTGACCTAGAGTATTCCTTGTTCAATATCTTGTTCATGCATTTTATCACTTGCATATGTTCTGCAGCTTAGGGTTCATGGGGATCATAAATCTTGACAAGCATCTTGTGCCATCCTCATGGCCTAGTCCAGGTGTCTCAAACACTCGGCTCGCGACTCTGTATAGATAGACTGGTCAACCTTTCCTGGCAGTGCAAAATGGCAATTTTTTCAACTTGTCCCATTTTCAAAGCTCTTGTAGAAATTCTGTGGTGACCTAGAGTATTCCTTGTTCAATATCTTGTTCATGCATTTTATCACTTGCATATGTTCTGCAGCTTAGGGTTCATGGGGATCATAAATCTTGACAAGCATCTTGTGCCATCCTCATGGCCTAGTCCAGGTGTCTCAAACACTCGGCTCGCGACTCTGTATAGATAGACTGGTCAACCTTTCCTGGCAGTGCAAAATGGCAATTTTTTCAACTTGTCCCATTTTCAAAGCTCTTGTAGAAATTCTGTGGTGACCTAGAGTATTCCTTGTTCAATATCTTGTTCATGCATTTTATCACTTGCATATGTTCTGCAGCTTAGGGTTCATGGGGATCATAAATCTTGACAAGCATCTTGTGCCATCCTCATGGCCTAGTCCAGGTGTCTCAAACACTCGGCTCGCGACTCTGTATAGATAGACTGGTCAACCTTTCCTGGCAGTGCAAAATGGCAATTTTTTCAACTTGTCCCATTTTCAAAGCTCTTGTAGAAATTCTGTGGTGACCTAGAGTATTCCTTGTTCAATATCTTGTTCATGCATTTTATCACTTGCATATGTTCTGCAGCTTAGGGTTCATGGGGATCATAAATCTTGACAAGCATCTTGTGCCATCCTCATGGCCTAGTCCAGGGGTCTCAAACACTCGGCTCGCGACTCTGTATAGATAGACTGGTCAACCTTTCCTGGCAGTGCAAAATGGCAATTTTTTCAACTTGTCCCATTTTCAAAGCTCTTGTAGAAATTCTGTGGTGACCTAGAGTATTCCTTGTTCAATATCTTGTTCATGCATTTTATCACTTGCATATGTTCTGCAGCTTAGGGTTCATGGGGATCATAAATCTTGACAAGCATCTTGTGCCATCCTCATGGCCTAGTCCAGGTGTCTCAAACACTCGGCTCGCGACTCTGTATAGATAGACTGGTCAACCTTTCCTGGCAGTGCAAAATGGCAATTTTTTCAACTTGTCCCATTTTCAAAGCTCTTGTAGAAATTCTGTGGTGACCTAGAGTATTCCTTGTTCAATATCTTGTTCATGCATTTTATCACTTGCATATGTTCTGCAGCTTAGGGTTCATGGGGATCATAAATCTTGACAAGCATCTTGTGCCATCCTCATGGCCTAGTCCAGGTGTCTCAAACACTCGGCTCGCGACTCTTTATAGATAGACTGGTCAACCTTTCCTGGCAGTGCAAAATGGCAATTTTTTCAACTTGTCCCATTTTCAAAGCTCTTGTAGAAATTCTGTGGTGACCTAGAGTATTCCTTGTTCAATATCTTGTTCATGCATTTTATCAGTTGCATATGTTCTGCAGCTTAGGGTTCATGGGGATCATAAATCTTGACAAGCAT